ATACCAAGTTGAAGTGTGGGTGGAGGTTTGGGTGCTTTTGGCATTCCAGCCAAAAATGTTACCCACCCCTGCTGTAAGTATTCAGACTAGGCAAAAAAAATTGACTTGTTTTATAAAGGAATAGTTTACTTGACTTAACTGCTTTTTAGCCTCAGCATACCACCATTGGAGTGCATCTGAAAATCAGGCCACTTTGTCACCTCAGTATTGATTAAAATGTCTAGTTTAGGCAGCAAAGTTTGAAAAATTTCACCTAATTTAAAAAATGTTGGTGTTTGTTACAGCTGTGCAACCTAATAAAGCACTGTTTGTAGTAAAAGGAAAGAACTTAGATTGCCTTCATCAGATCACCATCATCTGATGAAGTGTGCTTCAGCTGCAGAAACTGATTTGGTTAAGATGAAAATCTACTCTGCTTTCTACAGTAATAGAAGGAAAATTTTTGTTTTGTTTTTAATCCTCTTTTTAATAATTCCTAGCATTCTATTTGCCTTTTTTGGCTTCTGCTGAACAATAGGCTGTTTTCGGAGAATTATCCATAATTCCAAATCTTTTTTCTCGTGTAGTAACAGCTAATGTAGAGCCTATCATTTGTTTGTTTTTTTTTTTTTGGGACATAGATTATTTTTCCCATATGTATCACTAAGAAATATTGACTTCCGTCTGCCATTTTGTTGCCCATTCAGTCAATTTTAAAAGTTCCTCCTGCAGTCAGCTTTGTTCTTTACCACTCTAAATAATTTGGTGTTGTCCCTGGTCTTGGCCACCTTACTACTCAGCTTCCTTTCCCAAATGATTTATGAACATGTTAAACAGTACAGACCCTAGCACTGTTCTTTGGGTGACTTCCCTGTTTACTTCCTTCCATTGCAAAAACTGGCTATTTAAATCTAACTTTGTTTCCTGGCCAGTTACTGATACAGGCAGTCCTCAACTTACAATTTTTCGAGTTACAACCAATGGCACTTAAGATGTTTATAAATTGATGCTCTGTTTCAACTTTCTGACATGGGTTTTGATTTTATAGTGCTGGGATACAGCTGCATCCAGCTGGTAAGTCTGGTGTGGTGGAAGGGGAGGGGGAAGGGAATGGGTGTGGGGGGGCAGATGAAGACCCCCTCGCAGTGAGGGAGGGGCAGGGGCTGGGGAAAATTGCTTGTCTGGCAGCTCCTACTGCTTGTCCAGAAGGGCATGGGAGGGTGTGCCCCTGGATCTGTGTGGGGTGGGGCAGGTGGGGCCAGCAGGGCCGGGGCTGTGCTGGGAGCAGGGGCTATGCCCTCCTGCCACTCTCCCAGCTGGGGTGGAGCAGGCGTGGGACAGGGGTACTGCGCTGCCTCTGGACAAGCAGTGTGCAGCAGTGGGAACCACCCCTGCCGAGCCGTAGCTCCATCCCATGCCTCCCCTGCCTCGCTGGGTGAGTGGTGGCAAGGTACGGGCAGGGCGTATGCCCACAGATCGAGGTGTGTGGGAGGTGGAGTGGAGGCTATGGGGGAGGCCATAGCCTGCCATAGGCCCCTCCCATGCCTTGCTGCCCCCCCATGCTTTGCTGCTGCTTGTCCAGCTGGGCCGGGGAGGCGTGGGACAGCCGTGGACACAGGATACCCCTGCTCCCAGTGCAGCCCAGTGCAGCCCTAGCTCTGTCCACCCCGCCTTGCCCCACCCCACACAGATCTGGGGCACACGCCCCCCCTATGCTTTCCTGGATGAGTGGCAGGAGCTGCCAGACAAACAACTTGCCCCAGCCCCTTCCTCACCGCAGGGGGCCTTGATCTGCCCCCCCACCCCTCTTCCCTTTCCCTTTCCCTTTCCCTTTCCATCACACCAGACTTACCAGCTGGATGCGGCTGTATCCAGCATTGTAAAGGAACCAGTCCTCCATTTATAACATTATTCCTATGGGAAAATAGGTTCTAAGTTATGACGTTTCAACTTAACGTGCCGTTTTCAGGAACCAAGTGTGTCTTAAGTCTGAGGACTGCCTGTATAAGAGTGGACCTTCCTTGTAATGGCCTGATTTTGTTAACAGTCTTTGTTGCGGGACCTTGCCAAAGTCCAGGTACACAATATCAGTTGGACCACCATGATCCACATATTTATTGATGCTCTCAGAGAACTCTAGTAGATTGGTGAGGCATTACCTACGTTTACAAAAGCCATGTTGATTCTTCCCCAGCAAATTTTTTTTCTCTATGTAATGGGACAATTCTATTTTTAATATATCTTCTACGAAATTGCCAGGAACAAGTTAAACTTCTCAATCCATGGCTTCCCTGGATCCCCCCTAGCACTCTGTTTAGAAATTGGGTGACCTTAGCTATCTTCCAGTCCTTAAGTACAGAGTCTCTTTGTAGTAATAGGTTACATACTAATGAATAGATCTGCAGTTCTGACTTTGAGCTTTTTTTGTGCTCTTGGGTAAATATCATCCAATCCTGGTGGTTTGACACTGTTTAATTGATCAGTTTTCTTTATAGCCTTCTCTGTTGACACCTCAATTTGAGTTCTACTTAATTGGGATCTGGAAGTAGTGGCTCCAGACTGGAAATCTCCCCTAACATCTTCCATGGTGAAAACTGATGAAAAGAACAGCTCTAGTTTCTCTGTAATGGCCCTAATCTCCTTGGGTGCTCCTTTTACTCCTGGTTTTGTCCTTTCTGTGGCACTTCTGAGCCCCTGGTAGGCTTTCTACTTCTAATACACCTAAAAATATTATCATTGTATTTTACAAAGGACAACATAAAGATATCTAGTGTTGTGTTTAACAGAGCAGGCTTCCAGACACAAAATTACAAAAGTCCTCTGTCTCTACCCAAAGTTGTAGAGAAGGAGCATGAAGTATGTAATACCCCTTCTTCTCTTGGTGCAGGACACAAAGAGATCTTGGACTACAGTGCACCTTATGGATCCTGCTGGGGCAAAAATCTCCAATCCTAGTGTATGTGGCATGAATGCAATTACAGTGAGGATGTGCATTTGGGCAAGGAGAGATTCCAGCTCCCGTTTAGCTCCACTTTCTACTCCTTGTTTATCACTTTAAACAGCCATGCAGATTATTTACTTAGCAAATCTATCTTGGAATGAGCTACCAGTAAAACACCAACAAACATCACCATCACCCCCCACTGCCACATGTGTCACCAAGAATCTACTTTGTCCATAGATGTGAATCTACTCTGTCCATGAAAATGGTATCAAGAGATTTCATGTTAAAGTTATCCCACGTACTTCCAAAGCAAGTTTACTAGGTTTACTAAGTATCAACATTCCAACTTACTTGGCCCCATCCAGTTCAAAACTCCAGGTATAACACCATTGGCCAAAATTTCTTGAGACTTGAAATAACTGTCTTGGATTTTCTGAGCTGTCATCTCAAGCCTCATGGTTCCTCGTCCATTGGGATCAGAGAGTTCCTACATATCTCTTCTAATGTGTCTTTCTCAAAGTAGAAATAAGATACTTATCAGCAGCTAGTGTTCTTCCAGATATGTTGTCTCTATACATTTGCATCCTGCTCTCTTCTTCCTTAAGCCCACATACAGTATATAACTCTGCAGTTCATTATTGATATTTTTGAAGGTACAGGTTCACAATACACATCCTTGCTACAGTGAAAATTTAATGAGTATCATTCCACATAAGAACTCAGCAGTTTCTCAGAAAAAATATAGTCATGATTTTTAGTCTTAGGCAACTAAAACTATAAGAACTATAATTGTATGAGAATCAGTATTACAACAGCTTTGATTAGGGTTAATGGTTTGCTATGATAAATTGTAGGCACAGTTATGGTCTGGTCATGGGAAATTGCATTACAATCTAATGTAAATGTCCTTTCACATTGCAATAAAAAATTGATTAAAATCATTTAGTAATGTTGACTAAGTTAACCCTCCTATTCTAGCTGTTGTCAGTAACATCAGCAGTACAGGAATGCAGATTAAAGGGCTACTGTTATATTAACTTGGAAAGGCTTTTCAAACTTGGAAAAGCCTTCTAAGAAACTAAAGTAATAAAGAATATATGCATTACATAAAACTAAACTTAATGATTTTTAATGCTGAATATTGCAGTTGCAAACAAATTATTTTGGTATAATTAACAAAGTATGAGAGGCTTGTTTCCCATTTTCATGTTCCTTCTGTAATGTTTCACTTAGTCAGAGAAACGAAGTGCAAGTAAAATTTCCATTAGACCTTCAAGAACTTCACAAAAAAATCTTGAAGTGGCAAATAGGAGAGAAGAGTCAGTTTTTTATGCCACAGACAAGCAGGCAAGTGCTGAAGAGGTTATGCCATCCATTGCTGAAGGTAACAAGAAAAACTCTTATCTGCTCTGTAAGGCAGTGTAAGTATTCCTTAGGATTGGACTGTCAAACTTATTTGAGTTGGCAGGATGGATCTGGATTATGAGGCTTCTCCTCGTGGCTGGCAGACCTGCTGTGTCAGTGCAGCATGCGGGGTCAATGCTTCTGCTGTTTGTTTCCGTGCTGCTGATTTGTATACTGAGCAGTGATCAAAACCTAGAAATTCCCAGGTGGGTAAGGGGGAGGGGCAGATTAACCCCCTGGGTCCAACTGCACTGGCATAGTGGCTCTGGGAGCCACAGTGAAAAGCCCTGTAAGCGGGATGACTCACCTCTGCAGGCTGGATGCAGCCTTCAGGTTTTGTTTGACACCCTTGTCTTAAGGGTTTAGGATATTCTGATATATTCCCTCAACCTCTTCTTTGAAACTTCCATTTTCAGTGAGGGCACAAAACATGATTACTTCAGAGTAATTTACTCTGGTTTTTATTCCATAGTAAGGAGTGTACAGTTGGCCAGCTCTCCCAAGCTTGCTTGTTATTGCAGTGCCTAACAAGTAGGTGGGAAAGGACTGGATTTTCATTAAGCAAACTTCTCTCCCAGGATGCAACTGATGAGAGGGGAGCAGACAAATAATTGGTTCCATGGTGTAACTTACACTGATGTAAGGCTGCTCTTTACTTTGTAAGAGGTAACCCCAAAGTAGAATGATTTATTTTGATATGAGGCTCTGCAACGTATCTGCTATACTTTTGCTATAAAGTAAGTCTGAGTACACACATTCAAATAACCTGGGAGAATTCTCTCAGATTTGTTCTCGTGGTAGAAAAACTTACCCAGAGCCATGTGTATGGATGTTCAAATGTCGAGACCCTGAAGAGTAGAGAGCTTATAATGTTGACACTGTGCAGCCTGTGGGGGCTCCCTTAATCTGCCTGGCAACAGATGGCAGCAGTGCATAGAGCAGCCCTGATTGGTTAGCTCAGGCTGCCCATGGTCAGCCTGTGTGGTTAGCATGTACCAATGTTCACTGTCCCAGGAGAAACTCTCCTGGAAGTGATTTACCCCTCGTTGTTCTCAGGTTATTTTTTTTTTCCTGGAGCAGCCATTTTTACTCTGGGAGAAAATGCCTGAAGTTCTGTTTCTTCTGTGAGAGCAGCAACTCTCCCAGGAGAAATTGAATGTCCATATGAGGCCTAAGTTAGCTCCTTATTAAATGTGTGTCCACACCAAATTTTTATAAAGACTTAAATATTCATGAATCCAGAGAGTTGGAGAGTAAGAGAGACAAAGAGAATAAGCTATGTGCAAAATAAATTTCAGCCTCCTTTGAATAACGTCAGCAGACCAGCTGGCTTTTATCATGTTATAACATGACATGCTTTTTATGAATTGATAGTTTTGCTTAAAAAAGGAAGATATGTAGTTTTAATAATTCTAAACATGGATCTAATGAACAGATGCATTTGAAATTCGTGTGGAGGCTTTGAAGACCCAGCGAGACAAAGCCTTGACTGGGATACTATAGTTGGGGATGGTTCTGTTTTGAGAAGTGGGTTGGACTCTACATAACCTCCTGAGGTCCCTTTTAGCCCTAACTTTCTATGATTATAGTTTATTCACAATTTAAAAAATAAAATTCTTCATTACATCACAGCACCAAGTATCTTCAAAGCTGATGAATCCAGGACAGAACTTCAAGGGGCAGCAGAGGTACAGGAAGACAACAATATGAAAACAGAGATACCCATTGATCAGGTGAATGCCAGGCATATCTTTTTGTGCTCTGATTGATTAATTATTAATACAAAATATACAAGCCATTTCAGATAGAGAGTACCACTTGACTGTATTTCATCTGTATAGATTGTTAGGAATTAACATCTGTCTATCTAGTTGACAGATAAAAGGGAGAGAGGATTGATTGATGACTTTGTGTCTGTGGATGAGAGCGGGCTTCCGTATAAGTTGTTGTAACTATTACATTAGAGAAAATGTGCAAGACTTGATTTAATTATAAGTCTGTAAAACTCTCAACCCATGAACATAGAAGAAACAAAATGTATGGAGTATGGTCATATTGTATACATGGCTGCTTGGGTATAGTATTTTCTTAATAATAAAACACAGAAATGCCGAATGAATCGGTATTCTAATTTACCGGTTCCATTTCTGCTGAATAGACCAGCTATCAGTACAGTTTTCTTGGCCCACAACGTTGAGTTCACTCTGGAAAATACATTTCTGTGTCAAGCTATTGCAACATTTGGCATCAAAATGATATATAATCTGTTCCATTAAAAAAAAGGAAAGAAAAATTATCCTCTGTAAACTCTGACACTTTTCGGTTCATACAAGACATTCAAGAATGCATTATTCTCTTCTGTTTTTGCCGTTGCATTGCTAATTTTTTTAATGAATCAAAGTTGCATGATATAATGGGTAAAAGTGGTCTTTAACCCTACAGAGTATCACAGAGTAGCGTAAACTGAAGGCAACCAGGTTAGATTCTTTCCTTTTCTACTTCAGTACCATTTCTCAGATTTTTAAATAGTCAACAAAGATAAGAAAAATAATAAAAATCAAGTTTATTCACGGATGTGATAATCCTTAGTATGGTAACTTAGTTATGAACCACAAATTTAAATTACAGTATATAAGCCATAAAATATTAATGGACCTGTGCTCTGAGACATAAGAGAAATAGCTTTTAAATTGGTTTAATTGTCTGTTCAGGCATTCTAAGCTTTATATGCTCTACTTGCTATCTCATTCAGTAAGTTAGAATAGTTGTCAGTGAAGCTCCTACCTTTCGACACCTGAGCAGAGGTATCTTCCAAAGTGCCTTTCAGTCCGTGAATGACTCTGGATCTGTTAGGCCCTAAAAAAAGGGCTTGGTTGCCTAGATGCAATGTGGAAACTTGCTGGAATTCTGTGGTCTCTGATTGAAATTCCCAGTGAGCATGTGCCAAACTATTATGTTTATTGTTTGTCATGTGACTGAGTCTCTATTGCTGGAAATGAATGTTATTCCATATTTTTTGTCTTATTTTCTAACTTGCACACCCCGGAAAGGAGAGGGTTGAGAGGGGCATGGGGGCAGAGCTCTAGCCCAGCATCACACTGAATTACCAGAAATTGTCAGTACTTATACACAGTTACTTTGTGACATAACCATACCAACAAATGTACATTGAAATAGGAAGGCAGACTTTCTCAGAAGCTTTCTAAACAACATTACACACAGTATTATAGACAGTTGTGTTATAAGTAATAAGCAGGGATCCAGGTTTTCTCTGTTTAAACAATCCCAAATCACATTATAAAAAAACAAATCATCAAAAACCTTCAATCCTCATTTTTCCCCAATTTAAAATGAAAAGCCACTGTATATATAGGTAGTAGTAGTACACAATGCTTTATTGATATATTTCCATTTTAAAGCAGTGCCTCAACCATTATAAAAAAATAAATTCTAAATACTTATATATTTTGGTGTTTGATTTTGTTTTTTTTATCATGGAAAATCAGAGTTCCTCCTGCCCCTTTGCTTACCAGGATGTGGGTCCAGCTGCCGCTGTTCCCATAGCTGCTTTGTAGGACTGAGCAGCCTTGATATGCTGTTGCCCTGCCCCTACC